GGGGGGGGGTCCGGGGGATGTGTAGTTTCAAAAGATAGATGGGTTTTTTTCGGTAGTTATACTAAACCATAGGACTATAGGAGTACCTTTGTACTTCTCAACAGTTCTTGTGTTTTATTTTGAATTTTCCCCCCTTTTTACGTCCATGTACATGGAATGGAAGTTTGATTTCATCCTTCCCTTTTTTAATTCCAACATTTGTTGTGACTTCAATATAACGGCACGTGATTTTCTTGTATGAGACAGCCTAATCATTAGACGGGTCGATCCGTCATACCTATGTAACAAAAATGCATACTTATGTTATTTGTTTTTTAGATTACGACATTTAAAGTATGTATCTTGGTTTATAAATATCTAACCATAGTTACTGTCACTTAAATTGAAATATCATTTCTATTTGATTAACTTATACCAAATAAATCCTCGAGGTTCCGTGTAATTACGAGTAAAGATCCAACTTTTTTTACTCTCCAAAATGGGTTTCTCTAGTTATATCTTCTGAAATGATAGTCGAGACGATTTATAATGGCTAGTAGAGGAATACGTACAACTTCTAATCTAGCCGTTTTCAAATTCTTTTTATATTTCATTGTTACGTGTAATAATGATTAATGTGTTTACAGATAATGTGATCTTGGAGTTCAAACAATACAGCACGGATTCAAGATGGAGGAAAGCTGTGGTGAGCCGAAAGGACCATAGAGAAACCGGCAACGAAACGGATGGTTTCTATGGTGGGATTAGAAAGCTCCACAAGAAAGAAGAGATTGCAAAATGGGAAGAGCTATGGCCAAAATGTACTTTGGAATAGTTGCTATTATTTTTATTTTTTTTCTTTATGAATTTACTATGATATGTATTTAGTCAAGGCTTTGCTTTTTTTATGATGCATCTTGATGCAAAAGCCTTTGCCTTAGCTTAGTCCCTTTGAATTGGAAGGGTGAGTGAATTCTTTTTTGTTGGCCTTATTTTTGCCACTTAAAAAAAAAAAAACATTGTGAGACAAATTTAAGAGTTAGGGTGTGATACTTGTTGTAGAATTGTTAAAATAAATAAATAAAATAAGGCCTTTTTTTCTCTTTTTCTTTCTTAAAAGACGAAAATATAAGGCCTTAACTAAACAACATATATCTAATTTCAGACAAAGACAATCATATTTTTCGACAAAATGTGCATAGTTTCAAATTTAAGGCCATTATTGTGAGACAATTATAAAGAGTTAAACAGTCATACATTCTTTACTAAATGTGCATACTTTCGAACTTAAGGCTATTGTTAAGCAAATCTAGTAGTTAGAAAGTCATATTGTTTTTTTATTAAATATCATAGTACTTACCCAGGTTGGTCGTCACCTTGAAGTTCAATTTCGAAGCCAACCTAGCTTGTTCTTGCGTCTCCACATTAGTAGAAAATAGGACCTTCGTCTTCTCGCCACTCACTTTGAGGCCCGAAGTAGAGCAGAATGCATCCAACACTCGCGCCAAAATTCCCACTTGGGCATCCGATGCCTTTAGAAAGAGGAGGAGATCATCAGTTCCTCTTCCAACTGAGATAGGCTTCCACTTCCCCGAGTCTACGGCTGCACATATCATTCGGGCCAACTGTTCCATACAAATGACGAAGAGGTAGGGCGGGATGAGGTCCCCCTGCCGGACTCCACGAGAAGGCTCGATATAATTGACCTCGCCCAGCATCCCATTCCATAGCAAGCGCATCGATGATGAGCGGACGCATATAAAAAATAATAAAAATAAAAGTATGACATTTCTTTGTATAGAAATGTCTTTTTACTTAAAAAGTATGAAATATTGACCCTTTTAAAATACAAACTTTTAATTTTATTTTGTAAAAACTTTTGTATGTAAATTTTCCAATCCTGTATTTTAATTTTTACAGACCCAACAAAAGGCTAAAAGCGGGTCGGCCCGAACCCGCCTATCAAAAAAACCATGGAGTCGTTTGCGACGACTCGATAGAGCAAAGCCCAAGAGAAGCTGCAGAAGAGGGAGAGAGTGAGAGAGGCGAGTTAGAGAGAGAAAATACAAATAGATATCGGACGGCGCAGTATATACAATCGATTCATTCATATACACACAAAATTATACATCGATACAAGCCACAGGCGAAGTGGTTGGTTCGCCTGGAAGATGAACGGCGGCCCATCTGGTTTCAGTAAGCTCCGATTTCTAAGTTTGAAAAGCTGTGTTATGGTTATGGAGAATTTGAGGTTTTTGAAAAATTGTTGTCGTTTTACAGATAATGCGCCGGTGACGAGGGTAGTTGTGACCGCCAGTATTCTTTTCACAGTGGTATTTGGGATCCAAGGTCGCTCCAGGAGTTTCAATTGGTCTTATCAGGTACCTTTTTTTTTTTTATCTTTCCTTTTATTTTAGGGTGTGAGAGGCATTATTGCGAATCAATTATGTAAAGTTCGGAACTTTTCTGTTTTGATTTTGATTATGCTTGTTGAGTGTTGAAGACTTGAAGTTCGCCGAAATAAAGTGGGGTAGACAGTCGAAGTACTTGTTGTTTATGATCTAATCTCAGTAGTGAAGTTCTTTGTGCACAAGAGTTAGTATAATGACAAGAAATGTATCTTTTAGGTAGTGCTATCTCTGAAGTACTCATATTTTTTCTGGTAGGTTACCATAATAGTCTTGGTGTATTTGAATGTGATTGTGTGGGACGCTCTTACGAAAGCCACTTTGATATGAAGAATCATATTTTAGCACCAGACGCATCCTTTTAGCCCTTAAGCCTCCAGCTCAACTCTAATATCAGAGCAGAGGTCTTTGTTTTGTAATTTCTTTCGTGCTGTTCCCATATGTACCCATGTACTTAACCAAATGGAGGGTTCTTCCTAGTCATTGTCTGCACGAGTGTGTGCCTTTATTTTTTTCCGCTTGTCTTCTTTACGTACACTCATCTCTTGTAGTCATAGAGGAACAAAGGAGAAGAACTTGCCTTCAATATTAATGCTTTTTTATATAAATTTAGTGATTTTTTTAGTAGCTACAGGGGGACTGGCAGGGAGAGGAAATTCTTAAGAAACTGCATGTTACAGAGATCGAACTCTGTATCAACTAGTCCAACAATAGGTACCACTTGAGCTACCAGCTCGTGGTATATAAGTTTAATGATTTACAAGTCGATATGGTGCAGCATGTTTCTATAATTAATTGCATCCTTACTTGAATCTTTACTGATGGCAGGATATTTTCAAGAAATTTCAAATATGGAAGCTCATAGTTTCAGTTTTTGGCTTTTCATCTACACCAGAACTGATTTTCGGAGTTTATCTGCTGTACTACTTTCGTGTGTTTGAGAGGCAAATAGGTTCTAATAAACACACTGTGAGTTCTTGTTCCAGCACAATTTCTTTTGTCTGTTCCCGTATGAAGTTAATATGCCAAATTATAAGTTGTATTATTGGAGAAAGTAACATGTTGTGCAAGAATGAAGTGTCGAATGTAGAAAAACGGCGTACTATGTAGTACATTTTTTTACTTAAGTTTCAGCAAAGTGATTATGAGTTGTTTTAGTGAGAACAATCAGCTGAAGTACTTTCTTGCAGGTTTTTATCCTTTTTTCGGTCATCATGTCTTTACTGCTTGAAGTCGTTGCACAATGGCTACTTAAAGGTGTGGTAATGTTTCCTTGTCATTTCTTTCTCTCTATCGTTCTTGTTCTTTTGCATCAGTGTCTTCTATATGCTTTTCTCTTATTTGCTAGTTTTAAGGAACTTATGTAATGCTTTTGTGAATACATCCTTGTGGGGAGAAAACCCTCCTGACAAATGATCGTAAAACTGTACCTTCTCGTATTACTAGTTTACATCTTACTATAAGCATTGTAATTCGTAACATTAAGACTTTATTATACAAGGGTCATATGACATCCAAAATGTTGAAATGTGAGATAAATCTTTCCCTTAGATTTTTACTCTATTAAGAATTCTCATTATAGTAAGTCTCTAGATTGTAATTTTTTTGGAATCAGTAACTGTTAATTTGTCAGTTATCACTAGAGCTTACATTCGATGTAGTTATTATAGATAGAACTAATCTCTTATGGTTTCCAATTTTCATTGATTCTTACCTTGTATGTTGCTTCCTTATGTGATATTAATGGAGTTCCGTGGTAGGAAGTTGGATCCTGGCTAATTTTTTTTTTCAGAAGCCAAGTATCCTTTTTCTTTTCTATTTCTTTTCTTCATAGAATTGTTGTATACTTGTATGTCTCCTTTTCAGTCTCAATAATATCTGTCCTTCCTTTGTTTATTCAAACTTCTTGCACAATAGAAATTGAAAGTTCTTCGCTTGTATAATGTAATGGGAAAAATTACATATATATTACATACATTCCTTTACATTGATGATGTGGATTTATTTGTCTGGCAGATCCCTCACCGAGTATACTCACATCTGGACCCTATGGCCTTATATTTTCTTCATTTGTTCCCTTTTATTTCGACATTCCTGTTTCGACGCGGTTTCGTGTGTTTAGCTTGAACTTCTCAGACAAGACTTTTATTTATTTAGCTGGACTTCAGGTAATTATGAGCATTATGGCTATATACACGATGAGGTGCTAATTATTTTCTATCATCTTAACATTTTCTTTATTAATTTTCATTACTTGTACTTTACAGTTATTTTTATCATCCTGGAAAAGATCCATGCTGCCAGGGCTTTGCGGTATTCTCGCAGGTTCCCTGTACCGCTTGAATGTCTTCAACATACGCAGGCTAAAGGTTGCACCTAATTTTAAGTCGATCAGTTTTATGAGGCTAAACTTGTCTGTTACGAAGCGTCTTTTGTCAGAATTCATTTCAGCAAATGGGACCCTTTCTTACGTTAACCCTCTTTGTAATATTCTTCCAACTTATATATAAGTGATATAAATGGTTTTTCATTTTCTTTTAATCTTCATTTTTTGTGGGTATCACTACTCATAACTGCCCAGCTAATTTACAGAAAAATCATGGAGAGTGCATAGAAGTGTTGCATTTGCATAAAGTTTGGGCCTTTATCAGTTAAAACATTATTATGTTCGGTTGTGTGTTCAGAAAGTACGTTTTTTATGCTTCACATGGAGAGCATATATTATCCTAGAAATTTTGTGTACGGAGTTATAGATAGCCACTGCTTTGCTTCTTTTACTTTTTTCTCTGATATTTTATCAAGCTAATGGCTGACTAGCTTATGCTTTGCTGTTTCAATTTCCCGGAGTTATAGATAGCCACTGCTTTGCTTCTTTTACTTTTTTCTCTGATATTTTATCGAGCTAATGGCTGACTAGCTTATGCTTTGCTGTTTCAGTTTCCCGAATTTATCGCGTCATTTTTCTCAAGACTGTCTTTGCCATCTATTGGTAACACATCACCCACCACCAGGTCATCGCCCAATACTGGTCGCCAGATTGAGGTAGTTCATTTTTTTTTAGAATAAGAAAGCTCAATTTTTTATTTTATTATTAGAATTTTAGAAGTATACTGGGTCTTTTGTAGTTATTACATAAATCATGTGAAACCATCCTTATAATAATGAATCCTTCATTTTTCATTGACTTTCAGGCAAACTATCCAGCGCCGCCATTATCATCGACTGAACCACCTGAGGCCTTGATAGCCACACTTGTTTCAATGGGCTTTGACCAGAATTCGGCCAGACAGGCTCTCATACGAGCAAGAAATGACGTTAATACTGCCACTAACATCCTTCTCGAATCTCAAGGGCATTGACCCGAGTTACGTGTTGGTTTTAATGGTGTATTCATCTCGAGCAATGAGTTACCAGATTTTCTGAGCTGAGAAACATTTTGTTCCTAGTCGACAAATTCATATGTTTGTTCCTTTTTTTTTTTCTCTGCATTTATTTGGTTAAGAGGGACTTTGACTTAGCTGTAGACCTGATTGCAGTGTATAGTAGGAAGTTTTAACTTACGGGACTTTTGATTGTTGCTAGACCTGTGTTACCTAATTCTCTATCTTATTTGGTTTGACTGTGATTTTGAATTTAAAAGTTCTAAATGTGATCAATTTAGTACATTATATAAACTGTAAAAGATTTTCAAGATCCATTTTCAATTTCATCACTATAAAGTGAAAAATTACCAAATTTTCATCAAGTCACCAAATCACATGAAAAGACAAGCAACAAGTCGGATAAAAAAACCCGGGAAGAAGGATCTAGATAGTGCTGATGTCGACTCGGCTTTTGTGAAGCTGGAATGCAGGTGTGATCCAGCTTCCGCAACTGCACTGAATGCCGGACCAGTTGAAGTAACCCAAACGAGCTTCACAGTTGATGCACGATAGCTTTCCCTCCAGACCACCTTCTTCAACTGTATAATTTTCAAAACAATTAGGCAGTAAAGCTAGTAAAAGCTAGAATCAATCAGGTTTGGTTCCTGACTAAGAAGCTCGAGTCAAAACCATCACAACTTTACTTGAAGCGCATTTCCGTTTAGAAGTGATGGTGCGGAAGTCCCGTTTCAGCAGTTATGATGAAAATGTGCAAACTTGTGTGTACCATAAGAAAGTTCATTATCGTGATTATGTTCACGCCTTTACGTACTATTTTTCCTATGATAAAGACTCGATCAAAAAAATAAAAAATAAAAATAAAAATGTACCAGATTTCATCCAGCAAAGAGGCTCGATAAAGATAGAAGAACACTCGTCATCTTCAGATCTGCTAAAAGTACCACTCCTTTTACGCCAGTTGAAGCACGTTTCGCCCTCTCCCGGAACATGATCCACGACATTTTCTTTCAAGGCAACTAGCCTGCGGCATTTCTTGCAACGGTAAGCAGGAGTATTGGGCCGAGCTTCCTTATTGGTCAATATTTTGGAATTGGAAGAAAGCTTTTCAGCAGGGAAGCTAGGGTCAGGCCCGAACTTGGAACTATCTATTTTCTCTCCACGGTTATAGGTCTCACCTGTCAAATTTTGAGATTTATTTCATTTGATGTAGAAAAATTCACACATACCGTATTTAAAAAA